ACCATCCCTCAGCCAACAGTCTCTCACAGTCTCTTTCCCAGCAGTGCTGGTCCCTCGGTGTCTCACTCAGCAATGCATGTCTCTTGCGTCTCTTTCCCAGCAACACGTGTCTCAGGAGCCTGTGTCTCTTTCAGCAGCACATCTTCCTCAACCAGCAGTCAGAGAGAGTTCTGCCTCTAGGAGGCCTACTTTTGAGCCCGGCAGGGTGGTCAAACTAGCCAATCATAGCATCAGAACTCTAAGCACTTGAGAGAGAGTGGGAACCTCCCAGAACATTGTTCTGTGCCACTCCCAACAGAAATACTCCAGGTGGACAACTTCAGCAATCAGGAGCTCCTCAGTTGCTCAGAGAAAATCCCACCTTGGAGTTTACAAAGACTTATGGGTAGAAAAGCCACACTAAGTAATTTACTATACCACAAATGGATAAATCTGTCCTGGAAAAAGTGCAGCCTGAATGTTCCTTAGCAACAAGAATGGTCAGACTCTGTCTCACCTGCTTTGGTCATGTTGTCAGAATGGACCACTTCCTGGAAAAGGATATCATGCTTGGTAAAGTACAGAATTAGCAAAAAAAGGGAAGGCCCTCAATGAGATGGACTGACACAGTGGTTGTAATGATGGGCTCAACCATAACAAGGATTGTGAGGATGGCTCAGGACTGGGCAATGTTTCATTCTGTTGTACATGGGATCTCTATGAGACGGCACCTAACAATAAGAAGTGAATAAGTGAAAAATACAGAATTATTGCCGTAATGGATGGAAACCTGAGAAGGAAGCAGAGGTCTCTCAAATTCCAGAACTTCCTCTAGACAAGAAGTCTGTAGGTTTTCAACAAATCTACCCAATATTTGTACCATAGAATGCATTTAGCATGTATTTAATGAAGCTTGTAAGAAGCACAGAAGGAGCTCTGAGGGTATAGTGCCTAAGGCATTTGACTGCTAACCAGAAGGTTGGCAGTTCAAACTCACCAGCTGGTAAGTGGAAGGAAGACTGGGTAATCTACTTTTGTAAAGGTTTACTGCCTCAGAAACCCAAAGGGGTTCACTATGAGTTGGAATCAACTCAGTGGCAGTGAGTTGTTGTTTTTATTTTATTTATTTATTTATTTGTAAGCAGCTGCGGTAGTTAAGTTTGTGCATCAACTGGGCTGGGCCTGGCTGAATGGCTGGGCAGCTGAATGTAGTTATTCCCCATGGTGAGATTGGTAATAACTCCATGGTGGAACCTATTGGAGCAGCTGAGTAGCTGCTTTGGGAATGTGGTCTGCTTTCCATATATAAGAGACAGCTTTGGAATGGTCTCTAGCTTATGGCACACTTGAACCCTGCATGTAGCCGTGTCATTGTTCAGCAGCCTGCCACGCTCTGTCAACTTTCAATGGACTTGAATTAATGGCCTGCCATGTGGTTTGGTAACATTGGGACTGTGCCTTTTTATTTGTCAACCTTGGGCTTGTCAGTCCCAGCAGCCAGTAGCTGTCTGAGTGAAGAACAGCCTCTACCTTCAGTGGGCCAAAAGCAGGAAGCAAAGTTGAAGCCCAAGGTTGAAGGGCTTTCACCCAGCCGCTAGAGCCTGGCAATTTGAACTCGGACTTAAAGCCTCCAAATGTAAGAGAACAAACTCCTGTTTGTTCAAACCATCCCATTTGTGGTATATTCCTGTCAGAATGGCACTAGGTAACCAAAACAGCAGCATATAAAATTTAAAACAAAAAGAGAAACTCATTCCTTTCAAAGCACTCAGAAGGCGAAGAGAAATTGGTACAGAAAAGAGATAATACGGCTATGAGATTCCAGTCCATCAGGTCCAAGAGGGAAAGGCATTGAGGGCTAAGACACACACAGTAACTTTACTGCATATCAGCAGAAGAGTAGCTGGGCCAGCTGATTTAGAGTAGTGACTTGTAGGAATACCCACTTCTCTCTCCCAGAGTGTTATTTTATGCAAACTTGTGATTTATTTAATTTTGTTGTCTAACTGCACCCCTGAGAATACAGCTGAACAAAAAGTCTCTCTACTCTAAATGCTTGTTGATTATAAAAAGTGCAGATGGAATGCACCTTAGAAGCAAGAATGGCCAGATTTCATCTCTTGTACTTTGGTTGTTATCAGGAGGGACCAGTCCTTAAAGAAGGATATTTGCTTGGTAAAGTAGAAGGTCAGCAAAAATGAGGAAGACCCTCAATGAGAAAGACTGACACAGTGGCTCAAATACAGCAATGACTGTGAGGATGGCCATGGACTGGGCATTGTTTTATTCTGTTGTACACAGGAGCACTATGAGTCAGAACTGACTTGGCAGTACCTAACAATAGCAACAACAACTAACCTAATGGTTGGCGATCTGAACCCATCCAGAAATATGATGGAAGAAAAGTCTGGTAATCTGCTTCTATTAATATTACAGCCATGAAAACCCTATGGCGGGGCCTGGAACACATGGGGTGGTCATCATGAGTTAGAATGAATCTGGGTACAGAGATGAGAAATAGAGACTAATGTAGACTTCAATCTAGTGGGGGTAAACTGGGGTTCAACGATGGCTTCTCAGGACTCTAGCATTAAATCTCATCATTACTGGGTTCCTATTAGTGGGACAAATCTCAAGAACCTAGCTAGAAAGCCAGTTAGGTAAACACCATGCAGTCTCATTTCACAAGCTTTTTCCCCGCCAGGGACTCAAATGTGTCTTATTTTCTTGCTTGCTTGTATACTCTTTTCTTCACCAGGAACACATTTGGCTCTTCTAACTCTTATTCATCCTCCTCATTTCCTTTTAAATGTCAGTAAGCTGGTGGTTTGGTGCCTAAGGCATTGACTGCTAACCAGAAAGTTGAAAGTTCAAACCCACCATCCACTTAGCAGAAGAAAGATGGGGCTAATCTACTTCCATAAAGATTTACTGCCTCAGAAACCCAATGGGGTTTGCTGAGTTGGACTTGACTTGATGGCAGTGAGTTGTGTTTTTTTTCTTTTTTCTTTGAAGCCTTTCCAGGATCGCCCTGTCTGGGTGAGTTACCTTGGTTCCAGGCTTCTTTAGCACCATTTCTTGTTAACCTTGACACACTGTTAATGGCCCAAAGTTGTCTTCCCCACTAGGTTATGAACTTCATGTAGTCAGGAACCTTATCTATCCTGCTCACCACTGTGTCCTACCTGCCTGGCTCATATATTTGTGGAATATATCAATGAATTCACTGAAAAAATAATTTTCAGAGAAAATCTGAAAATTATAAGGTAAAAAACATATAAGAATTTTCTTTGTTTGACTCTTCGTGCAAATGTAGCAAAAATAGCAAAACTGAGGCAGCCCACTGAAACTGATTTGGGCCAAGAACAAAATCAGGCCCCTAGCCCTGGTGGTGCAAAGGGTGGTGGTTAGAAATCACCCAGTGGCTCATGAGGAAAAAGACATAGCAATCTGCACTTGTGAAGATTACAGCCTAGGAAACACTACAGGGCAATTCTACTCTGTCGCACGAGATATTTGAGTCAAACACTGACTCAATGGCACCTAACAATAGTAAGAGTAGAAAGCTTCTGGTAAAGGCAAAATCAGAATATTAAGAAAGAAACTTACTTTTAAAAATAACGTACAAAAATAAGTGCTCTTAATTCTTAGACATGTTCAAGGACAGAATTTATACCCCCAGATCCTTTACACCTATTAGCAATTTAAGCAGCTATTTCTGTGCACAAGGCAATGCACATTCTTTGTTGTAAACCTAAATATCACTTGCAATGAATAGTCTCAACAGGCAAGAAAAGCGAGAAAGAAAATATGGTGGTGTGGATTGAATTGTGTCCCTAAAAAATATGTGTTGTAAATCCTAACATCTATGCTTGGGGTTGGGAGCTTTGATGGCATAGTGCCTAAGGCATCTGACTGCTAACCAGAAGACTGGTGGTTCAAACCCACCAGCCATTCCTCAGAAGGAAGGTTGAGCAATCTACTTCTGTAGTGATATCACCTTGGAAACCCAGGGAGGGGTCACTATGAGTTGGATCTGACTCCATGGCAGGACGTCATCATCATCGTATGTTGAGTCAATCTCTTCTGATATAAAATGTATTCAGCAAGCAAGTGAGTAAGCAGAGGTAGGTAAGAGAGATGCCAAGCCACATGAAGATCACCCAGGAGTACAAGCTCAATGAGACAAGGACCTTCCTCCAGAGTCGACACAGAGAGAAAGCCTTCCCCTAGAGCCAGCACTTTGAATTCAAACTTCTGGCCTCCTAAACTGTGAGAAAATTAATTTCTGTTTGTTAGAGCCACCCACTCATGGTATTTCTGTTATAGCAGCACTTGATACCTAAGGCACAGGGCTTAATGCACAAGAAAAACTAAATGAGTTTGTTCACCACCTCGACTTGCCAAGGACCTGCTATCTTTTAGGCAGAATTATAAATGGTTTACTTTAATCTTTAATAAAAATCCATGATGTAACATATTATTATTCTCATTTTATATTTCTAAAAGATAGCAGCCCAGAGAAAATCAGTGCAACAAATGAGGAAGCAGAGTTTGGTTCAACTCCAGTAGGCTTCAAACTGTGTTCTCTCCACTGTCCCCCAGTACCCTTGGGGCCATCATCCTGTCAGACAAGTCCTCTAAAGCCAGGAAGTCACATAAACTCTCCTGAAAACACTTGAGACGTTATTCCCCAACTTCTCTTTTCTTCCCATCTCACCCTAAATTAAACATCAGACCCACACTGCTGTCATTTGGAAAAGTAAAGATAAAATCCACTATGGAAAGTGTGTTGTAACATTCTGCCTCACTGAGGTTTTGTTCTCAGGATAGCTCAAAGGGAAGTTGGGATTCTTTACCTTTTTCGGTGTAAATAATCCACTAAAAGAAGAATATTTTTTAAAATTACAAAATGTATATTCATAAGCCAGTGGAGAACTGTTTGTCCTTCCCTTTATCCTTGCTACTTAGTATGGTAGACAATCTCATGTGAAAAGAAACCTTAAGTAGTGAAGACTTACCCTTTCCATTTCTTTGAAGTCATCATCTAGCTTGGTTCCTTCAGCTCCACCAACCTTCTCACTCACTTTCTGTAGAAAATAACAAACACATCAGAGTTATAATAAATGAAGTTTCTTTTTTAAGATGATGTGTTAAAAGTTTAAGCACTTTCACATCATCTTATAACCACTCTATGACATAGGTGGAGAGACCCGCTTTCAAAGGAGGAAACCATGACTCAGAGTTTAAACAACCCACCAAAGGTCATAAAGCTAACAGGTGATGAAAAAAGGAGTCAAACTTGTGTCTTCTGATTTCCATGCCAGTGCTCTTTATAATTATACAAATCACTGTATAACTACCTAATAACTAACACTTTCCTTTTGAAAGTTCTGAGGGACAACAGCATCATACAATACTAATTTCATTTTGAAAATGGATCTAAAAATCTACGTAAGTAGAAAATTGCTGCTACTTCAACGTATTCCTCAATGGGCTATTGAATAGAAAATAACAGCAATCTATCAAACTGGTTTTAAAAAAAAAAAAAATCAGCCCAGGTGATCTTTATATGAAAGGACTCAAATAGTAAGTCTTATAAAGCTCCCTGTAGCTGTCTACATCCTATGCACATAAGATGAACTATAAGGAAAGGTATGAAAGGCATTTCTTTGCTACCTAATCATTTCCAAGATTATACATTTTAACTCAAATAGGCAAATGGTTATTTTTCCACATGTAAAATTCATGTTCATCAAAAAATTAGAAATGCTTTTGTATTCTGAAATAAGGGTTCCAACTAAATTTAATAAAAATGTATAAAGGGATCCTAAGACAAAGACTTTGGTTTCATTAATGGTAGGAATATGAACTGCTAAGGAGCTCTGGTAGCATAGTGGCTAAGGCACTTGACTGCTAACCAGGAGGCTGGCGGCTCAAACCCACCAGCCACTCCTCGGAAGGAAGGTTGGGAAATCCTACTTCTGTAGTGATACTGCCTCGGAAACCCAAGGAGGGGTCGCTATGAGTCGGGGCCGACTCAATGGCAAATAACAACAACAACAACAAGGACATAAGACTTCATTTATCTTAAAATGCCTAATTGTAAAGACATATGCTTTTCATTAGATGTCACTGTATTACATAAACTTATATGTATAAACACAGATACAAAACACATAAACACAGATAACAAAGCATGATTTTTAATTTCTTTTCCTAGCTGTCGGGTTGAGGGTCTTTGCAGAGGATCCTAACCATGGCCAGAACTGTAGCAATCTCAGTAACAACCTGGCATTCCAGTGAGTGAGGCTCCTTGCCCTCTGAAGGGGCCACTGGACACCTGGCTCTATCTCCTGGCCATAGAAATCTGATGTTCCCTTGTTGATGGTGGCTGAGGTGTATGTTCCTTTCTCCCTCTCCATCCTTTACTCTTGCTTTCCGCTATTAACAAAATCTTCAGAAAAGAAAACTCTTGAAAAAGCTAAGAGTCTGTGTTCTGTCAGTAGTAACAGAAGGAATATGGTGTAATAAAAGTACATGGCATGGACTTACCCCTTTACTTACAGCTGGAAATATAACACACTGAATTGTCATAGAAATTAAATGATGTAATAAATATAAGAATCTATGTCTGAACCTACAAGAGATGCCATAAATTCTAGTTCTCTTTTTCTCTCTCACCAATAAAGTGTTTATCTACTTATAGTATCCTGGTTTCTCCTATCAGTTTATTTAGCTGCTGTTTAATACCTTGAGAAGATTGTAACTGTTTTCATTAACATAATACAGTGTTAGGTAGATAAAGATTAACAATTAAAAATGAAAAGTTAATAAAAACACTATTGATATTTTTTATTTATATGGACACACTTGCAATTCATCATTTGTATCCCAAGGACTACATGACGCAGGAGCAGATATTTTTCGTTTTCTGCAGACAGCAAAACTGAGCACTATGTAAATGATCTGTCCATGGTAGTGGCCTGAATGTAGTTTTCACATGCTAAGCATGCTAAGCTTCTTTGCATTTGCACTGGGACTCTGGAGAGCTGTCCGTGGTGCTAGCCTTTTCTACCTGGTGCTCCATTAGATTCAGATGACCAAAGTTTGATTCGCAGCCTTACTTCTTGATCCTTGACATCAAGGATCCACCCTTGATATCTGCCCTCACACTTAACCAGTACCCTGGGTGATACTTATATCACCTACATCAGCAGTTTGTACAAGTCCAAGCTGTGTCTGGTATCAATATTACCTAATTTAAAGTCTGTACCAACTGTGATTTGGCCTAGCAATCAGCTTCCCTGCCTGCATTCTTAAGAAAACATTTACCATATCAGAAAGGGAAGAAGGAGCAAGAATTCTGATTAGACCCTTCTAAGATTTCTAAGTGTCAGTGACCTGCCCTGCATATCCAGATTTAAGATATAAAACTTCAGGGATGAAGGAGCTTTAAAAGTTATTAATACCAGTTTCTTCCTGTCATCAAGCTAAGCACCAGTGAAGCAGATTTTTACTAAGTCATACTTCCTTCTAACTGCTCAGTAACAGTAAATTTTGCTTATATTTCACCCCTATTTTTATTCATTATTCTTGAAAGGTACAATTGATGGTAAAACTTGGGCTAGGCAACTTTCTAGTCAAACTCCTACACAAAAAGAAATATTTGCTACACAATCTCAAATCAATTCTTATCTCAGTTGACTGTATCTAATGTCTGGTGACTCACAATACCTCAAGGCTCCATTATTATCAAAAAGGATCACTATACATAAAGCCCTTCATTATCTGGGAATGAGACATTTTTAGTTGCCAAATTGACATGAATAACATGTGGCTGAGTAATGTGTCCATTTACATTTACAGTAACATTAGACAATCTTGGTAACATAGGGTTACTCACATTTTGACCACATTAAAGGAATAAAGCATAACTCTCATCAAAAACACAAGTGCCAGTATCACATTCACAATCCTTTATTACTCAACTCAGAGTGATTTCCACTTTCCTCCTTTTTTGCATAGATCATAGCTTAGCACCACAGTAGTTGGTCCACTATATAAAATGTGATCACACTAGACATTAATAATTTGGAACTAGTGCTGGTATCCACACTGAGGCTAACTCATCACTCTGTTGGCTTTAACTATGTGGTTTGTAAGCACTGTGTGTGTGTGTGTGTCACAGAGGGGTGAGGGGGAGAGAGATCATTTCTAAACAAAAGCTCGTATTTAAGCTGCTCTGAGAGAAATAGTTCCATAAACATAATGGACAATGGTAATGGTCTGATTGGTGGATTAATATAAAAATGTCTTACCTAATTAGATTCCTAGGAACAAGAATATTCAGTACGATATCTACATTGTTCTCTGGGCTATTTTTCCAAGACATAAAGGATCTAACTATATCAAGGGACTACATTAAACATTGGGCTCAATAACAAATGACTCATTCCTTAAGAATGTGGCAAATACAGGGAGACAGCTCAAGGGGCAGGAATGCATGGGAGAGCAGGACACAGGGAGGAGGTGGCTATGGAGAGGAAGTGGGAGGAGAGCTGTTGCACTGTGGGAGATGACAGTCAATGTCACGAGACAAAGTATATGTGAACCACTGTATGAAAGATGAATTTGCTCTGTAAACTTTCACCCAAATCACAATAAAATCTAAAATAAAATAAAATGTGGCAAATATTTTTTCCTCCTTTTCTTTAAATCATGTCACTAAAACTTCTCATAGTTTGCTGTATAGAAACCAAGGTAAGGAATATAGCCCATCTGGCCAAAGAGGAGTTTTGTTTTCATTACCTGGGACTGTTTATTTAAGAACTGTTTGCCCCACTGTTTTCCATTGAGGTGATTCATAAAAGTAAGGTTTCATATAACTAAATATTGTTTGATGCAGTTCAGTATATGCTCACTAATATGCTTGCCACTTGAGAAATTTAGGATCTATTTAAGCAAAGACAAACATAAGGTATTTGAATCAAACAGGAAAGCACACATGAGCCAATATAGCTGCTAAAGGGACAAGGAGGCAGCATCTTCTGACCTCCTCTAACTACACAAGAAGAAGCCCAAGGCCTGGTCTTATGAGGCCAGACATGCTGTCACCTTTCAGCTCTCTTACTAACCTTGACACCACCATTCTTTCCATGGCACCCACTACCTCTCTGCTGGGTTCAATAATTTGCTGCAGTGACCACACAGAACGCACAGATTATGAGGTTTATTAGGGAAGCAACAGGCTACAATTCAAGTTCAGGAATGTTCTCTGTCTCTCATAGCCAGCCGTCTCACTCAGAAGCCAGCAGTCTCTCTCAGTAGCACATCTCTCTCTCACCAGTGCGTGTATATTGTGTCTTTCAGCGGCACGTGTCTCTCACATCCCTCTCTCTCAGCAAGTGCATCTCTCTCTCAGCCAGCAGTGAGAGATTCCATCTGCCTTTAGGAGGGCTCCTTTTTAGCCTGGTAGAATGACCAAACTAACCAATCCCAACACCAGAATTCTATACACCTGAGAGAGAGAGCGAACTTCCCAGAAGATTGCTTCCTGTTGGTTCACTGGAAATACACCAGGTGGATAACTTTAAAAATCAGCTACTCAGATGCTCATGGCGAAGTGGGAGTTACAAAGATTATGCTAGGAAAGCCATGTCAGGTAATTTACTACACTGCAATACCCCATGTCCCACTGTAACATCTAAACCCTGAAAAACAGTCCTCTGTTCAAAGCTTCAGAGGTACCAACTCAGCAAAACATTGAGAACCTACTCTTCTAACCTTATTTGCCATTGTATTCTCCAACCAGTTGACACTGAGGTGACTCTAACTCATGGCAACCCTACCTGTGTCAGAGTAGAACCATGCTCCATAAGGTTTTCAATGACTGATTTTTTGGAAGTAAATCACCAGGGCCTTTCTTCTGAGGTGCCTTTGAGTAGACTTGAACTTCTCAACTTTGGGTTAGTCAGCAAGCATGCCTAACCTTATGTATCACTCAGAGACTCTTTCCATCCACTCTGTATTCCAATCAAACCAAAAATATGATCTTTACCTGTGGTATTCTCCTTTGCATTCCTCA